ACTTAAGGATTAACCTGCAAAAACCAAACATTTGCTCAAACAAGACTTCCTACACATCTAAAACCTACAAACAACAAATTATTGAATTATAGGTACTTAACCAAACATTTTCAAACCAAAAGGAGTATATATATTAACAAAACTTGCATTTGACTTACCAATTAACAATGGATACTTTCATAACGCGGATGCAGGTAGGCAGCGTCTAGAATATATCGCTCTAGCCATATAATGCCGAAACCACAAGCCTACTGCAGCTCTATCTCTATCGGTGGGAGGTAGAAACTCTGTGCTTCCCGTCGTCAAACGCGCCAAGCACATGCATACGAGAGGACCACAATCCCCTCTGGCTCCCGACGATTGTTGTGGCAGGGTCTCGTCTCTGACAACTGTGACATTGAACTTCTTTGGCTTCTTGTGTCCAGAATGAGTCCAATAATTAATCCCATCCAAGAATTTAGCCAAATGAGAGCTCCATCCCTTGATAATATCTCTCAAATCAGACAGTGATGTATAATTTATCATGCTGTCATATACTATTATCTTCAGGGATGAGAGCTGAAGTTGGACGAGAAGCTAATGACGACGTTCCAAAACAGGGATAAACACCTGCAATCATAAGTAATAATTCATTTATTTGCGCACTTATTTATGAACACCTTTAAAAAATTTAAAAAATAAACACTAACATTATCGACCTCCCACCATGCAGGATAAAGTTTAGCTTGTCCGTTGCCCAACAAAAATGATTCATCTCGTTGATTCTTCAAGTGAACTGCGTGAAAAGCCGCCGCCATTATTGTATATCGCGAATTTTTTTTATTTTTCCTAAGCTTCCTTATTATTAGAAGACGTGACACCCACGCATCGATATGCTGTTTTATAAAAAAAAGACATATATTAGTGAATTACATTAATTTTTTAAAAAATTAATCAAAATCATACATAAGTCAAATATAAGACTTACCTCCCTATCGAAATAGCCACTGTCTTCAACCCCTAATAACACACCCCACCAAGACCGATTAAGCAACAAATACATCTCATCGTTGAGTTTGCTTATGTCAGTGTAACACCCTTGGCTCCGCTCATGTAGATAAAAATCAACTGCGGTCTTAGCCCAAAGGGTATTATCCAGAATTGTTTCTGGTAGTTGTCTCCTCTCCACTTCAGATACCGGAAGGGTACTAGCCGGTAACTCATACGAGAGCCAACTCTCATCCATCATGTCCGGCAACGGTGGGAGTTTCTCAATAATTCGATATATTACCCCATGTGAATCGGGCTCTGGAATGGTGGGAGGGACCTCTTCAACAATGACAGTGGCCTCTTGAACGGTGGGGGGACTCTTGAGGGATGATAGGGGCCTCTTGAACGATTGGAGAGGACTCTTGAGGAATGACAGGTGAGTCGGGCTTCTTCTTGCGGAGTCTTTGCACCATTGGGGTGAACGGAGACGTAATAGCACGTGTATGCCGTCTGATGCGTGAACTCCGTCGTGCAAGGAAAACCCGACGTAAAGCATCCACCTTATCGGGCCGCTAAAAAAAATTAATACATAAATCAGTAAATAAACAGACATGATATTAAACAAAGACAAATATGTTTCAAACTTGCATTGTATTCACCCAAGTCATTATTCTATCATAGTTCACAAAATGCATCAGATAACATTCCAGAAGTAAGCACTTATATAAACATTTAAAAGGACAACATATATAAACATTCAAGAAGAATAATAGTTTACTTTCGCAACACGAAACCTACTTTCGCAACGCGAAAATGACTATCGCAACGCGGAAATGACTATCGCAACGCGGAAATGGCTATCGCAATGCGAAATGAAAATCACAACGACAAAATCGCAATGCGAAATGAAAATCGCAACGACAAAATCGCAACGCGAAATGAAAATCGCAATGCGATTTGTGTTTTGCGTTGCGATTTTGTCGTTGCGATTTTCATTTCGCATTGCGATTTTGTCGTTGCGATTTTCATTTCGCATTGCGATAGCCATTTCCGCGTTGCGATAGTCATTTTCGTGTTGCGAAAGTAAACTATTCTTCTTCTGCAAATTGAAACTTGAATGGATTGCATTACTTCAACCAAAAGACAAAAACAAAACCAAAAACAAATACTAACAAAAATAGTTTAGCAGTATTGGCAGCAACCGAATGAATTTATTAAGCAATCTAAGTGAAATGGTTAATCTAAGTGAAATTACGAGTAAATTTATCATCAAGTTAAATATGAAAAATCTTAAACTTACCTCGTTGCGTAGAGTATGAACCTCATTCTGCAACGATGCTACCATCTCACGTAGAGCGGCTACCTCACCGCGTAAAGTAGACACCTCAACACGCCATGCACCATCGTCTTTGCGTAAAGTACCGACCTCCTCACGCAAGGCATTGACCTCATCACGTAACTCTCCTAACTCATCCCGTGGAGGTGGAGGTGGAGAACAGGGAGATAAACGTCGTGGCATCTTTATCGGTCGCCTATCTTGCGGTGATGGTGGAGAAGAGGCTCGATGATGTGATAGAATAGGTGATGGCTGTCGTTGTGGAGGTGTATAGTCGGGTCGATCAGGTGATGGCTCTGGGTGAGGTGATAGCTCTGGGTGAGGTGATGGCTCCCGAAGTGGAGGCTGCTCATCATCTGTGCCATCAAAAAAATGCTTACTAGCTTGCTATCAATCAGTGGCAAGCTCAGCTTCCGTGGGTGTCAGCCTCTGTAATAGAGTGTTGGCCTCCTAACAATATAAAAGCTCAAACAAAGTTAAACGTGTACTAGTAATAACTTGTTTATAAACATATGGTAGTATTTATGTTAACTTACATTATTTATTGTCGTATATCGTAGTAAATCTTCCCATTGCAAGGTTCGTTTCCTCTTCCAGGAAATAGCCCTGGGAATATCATTTGAAGTTTTTATTGCATATGTCTTCATGGAGGGAAATGCCTCAAATATCCAAATCTACAAACAATATAATAACAAACATTAGTAATTGTTAAATAATTACTTATAATTTTGGAAACATTATATAAAAATTCTTACCTTAAAGGCCCAAATAAAGCCTGTCAAAGTGTATTTGGAACCATCGCCATGCAAACTTTTTCGATCATCCAAGGCAGACGATAACTTATTCCATGTAGCTTTCCATAAATACAAGCCCCATGGAAACAGGTTCCACGCATTTAGGTCTTCTACCAATTTGATTAGATCATTCAAAATAGGTTGTCTGGCCTCTCTGCCTAAAAAGCCGGCATGCAAAAGTATTAGAAGGCATACTCGGACAACATCGACGTCATCCATCCGAGTAAAACCATCTTTCTTATTCAATAATATCGTCAGGTCTTCCACGTGTAGATTCGGCCTCTCCAGCTCAGGAAAAACCCGGGATAACCATGATAGGCGGGTAATGTGTCTAGTGTACCGACCTACATCATCGTGTCCGAAGCGTAGACCGGTGATTAATCAAAACTCCTCCCGCCCAAAACACGTATACGCCGGTGGAAAATCAAACCATATCTCTTCATCACGACGTTGTATAGTATCTGGTAGATCCCTAGTCATGGTTTGAAGAAACAGGTGTGTCAACATCGCATCTCCACCGGGATGTTGTACTTTCAGCCATGGCCCGAAGCAAGTATCCTCAAACATTTTTCTTTGTGCAGGTGAAAGCTTCGATGTAATTGTTTTGGCCAGGCTGACTTTATTTCTTAAGGTCAATTAAGCCGAATAAAAGTTCTACAAAAACAATAAACATACTAAGTTAGATATACCAAAAACTACACTGTGAAGATATACAAAAAACAATAATAAACATAAAGAGTAGTAGTTTATTCTTCAAACTTAAATTTGCAACACTGTGAATTTCTTATTTGTCTTTGTTTTTTGGTTGAAGTAATGCAATTCATTCAAGTTTCAATTTGCAGAAGAAGAATAGTTTCTGAAAATGAAAATCGCAACACGAAAATGACAATCGCAACGCGAATTTGACTATCGCAACGAGAGAATAAAATCGCGTTGCGATTTTCATTTCGCGTTGCGATTCTCGGTTGATTTAATAAGCAATCTAAGTGAAATGGTTAATCTATTATTGAAATTACCAGTAAACTTATCATCAATTTCAATATGAAAAACCTAATAATAATGCAAAAATTTAAAAAAGAAAATAATTAAAAAAACTAACCCTCGGTGGTAGATTTGGTTGATTTTCCATTTCTGATTGTGAGGGTGGCTCTGAGAGATGGAGATAGACGGATTTCGCCGGAGATGGGGACGGATTTCATCGGAGATGGGTGAGAGAGTGAGAGATGGGGATGGGACTGAGTTGTGATTTTAGGTTTTAGGTTATGAGTTGCGATTACGGGATATACTGTGGATGGTTCAGTGTTCCAATATATTAATATTCGTGTTTGGAATTTGAAAATAAAATACGCTTTGCGATACTAATGGCGCTTTGAAAATCGCATTGCGATTATGTATTATCTCGTTGCGAAAGTCAGTATTGAGTTGCGAAATTAAGTATCGAGTTGCGAAAGTCAGTATCGCGTTGCGATTTTGTATTATCGCGTTGCGATAGTCAGTACCGCGTTGTGATTTTCCAAATTCGCATTGCGATAGTCAGTATCACATTGCGATTTTCCAAATTTGCATTGTGATTTACTTATTCGCATTGCGAATTGGGAAAATCGCAACGCGAAATTGGAAAATCACATTGCGATAGTCATAATCGCGTTGCGAATCTGGAAACTGATTTGCGATAATAGAGATCGCGTTGCGAATTAGCGATCACATTGCGATTTTATTGGTCATTTTGGCAAATCCGGAAAAAGTTGGTTAAAATCGTATATTATATGGGATTTTTGGTCACTGAGGTTATTTTCTCTATTTATAATTACGGCTCCAATCACCCTATCAAGACGATTTTATGTTAAGAAGTGAATTTACTTAGATAATACGAAAATGACCGCCTCCCTTAACCCCTTCAATTACCTTTCGAGAAACATTTGTTCGGTAAGAATGAAAGACGACATAACGGCTACAATAACCATGCACAAGGGACTAAAAGCAGTCAAACACAACGGACCTCTGTGTTTCATTATCATCCCTTGAACGAAATAACTTACTCCTGAACATACAATACCCTGCAACCATTCAATTTTCATATATCAGAGGATAACCAAGGCTAAATGATCATTGTCGAGTCGTCATTCCCGACTAAGTTACCGATTCTGATCGGCAATGATTCTTACACTGTATGCAGCAGTGAGCAACCTGGTGTCCCATTTAATAGCCCAAATGGCAGCATTTCCTTTTTCCATTATCAAAGTTGCAATGATACCTTCAAGGGTGCTCACCAGGCATATCCAAACTGTTAGAGAAAGGTCTGCAGGGTACGTTTCCAGAGTGATTGCCTACGAAAACACACACATAACTTATGATTAACCAAATCAATGAACAATTATCACTGCAGATTTTTTCAATACATGTTACTTGGAGTATGACAAAACAAGCATAGCTGAAGCAACCGATTGTGATCATTATACCGCCTTTAATCGAATCGTGGAGATCAGTCCCATTTTTCGCTGCCTCTTCATGGTTGATCCTTCCTTTCGTCCAAAACAACTCAAGCACGGGTCCTTTCATCAGTGTCATCGCCATCGCTCCTGCAACCGTTGCAAGTGTTCCTATAAGCTTTCCATGGCTACGGATCGATCTTAAGTTCACCTTCTCGAGCCTAAAACCACATGATTAAACTTTTCTACACATGATGTATGAACAAAATGATCGATTTACGAAATTTGTTGTTCTTGTTTTACCTTAAAATCCATGCCATAACGAAAGTAATGGCAGGACGAATATTGTACATGGCAGTTGAAAACGTTGCAGTGGTATGTTTCATCCCAAGATAATACAAGTTTTGGTCAATTACTGGCCTGCCAAAGTATATATATCAACATTAGAAGTGTTGATGAAAACGGGTAAAGAAAAACAAAAGAACACGAGATTTTACGAGGTTTGGCAATGTGCTTACGTCCTCGGTGCCTAGGCGGCGCTAGAAGTTTTATTCAATGATATTTTAGGTCTATGTTACATCTCTATTTATAATAGAAAACCCTGGTACATAATTACAAAATCAACCCTGTACCGTACCGCGAGGGGCAGCCCTCGCACCCCCAACCCATATAATTCGAAACCCCACAACGAGACTTTCTTTGTAAGGACAGTTGATGTTCACTTCGCTCACTCCGCTCCATCTCCTGTCCTCTTTACTGGTATATTTATGAGCCATACCTAACAAATCTCCACCTTGGCGAATATCCTGCCCCTTGGAAACTTCAATGTGGGTTGGGTTACCTTGCTTCTTTAACAACTCGAAACATTCAACAAGTCCAAGCAATGCTTGAACTTGTCTGTCGTAACTGGCTTGGTGAACATATCAGCGACATTCTCATCAGTATGTACCTTCTGAAACAAAACCTCTCCAGATGCAACCAACTCTCTGATCTTGTGGAACCTTACATCAATATGTTTAGTTCTAGCACGATACACCTGATTCTTAGCCAAGTGAATAGAACTTTGATTATCACAAAGCAACTGAACTCCACCTTGTTGAACACCCAATTCCTTCACTAAACCAGTAAGCCATAAAGCTTCTTTTGCAGCTTCAGCCGCTGCCATGTACTCAGCTTTAGTTGTAGATAGAGCCACAACAGATTGAACAGTAGACTTCCAACAAATAGGCCCTCCACCAAGAGTAAAGACATACCCTGTCGTAGATCTTCTATTATCCAAGTCACCTGCATAGTCTGAATCCACATATCCTACAACCAAAGGATTATCCCGCTGACTCCCAAAAATAATTCCATGTCCCACAGTACCCTTTAAGTACGGAAAGATCCAATTGACTGCTTCCCAATGTTGCTTACCAGGTTTAGACATGTACTTACAAACTTGACTAACAGCATGAGCTAAATCAGGACGAGTACATACCATCGCATACATCAAGCAGCCAACAACATTAGAATACAGAACATTTGCCATATCTTCAGCTTCCTTATCTGTCTTAGGGCACTGTTCTGATGAGAGCTTAAAGTGATTCGCCAATGGAGTGCTAACTGGTTTCGCGCTGCTCATCGCAAACCTTTCTAGCATTTTCTCAACATAACCCCATTGAGATAGCCGCAGTTTCCTTGAGTCTCTGTCCCTGAAAATTTCCATTCCAAGAATTTTCTTTGCAGCACCTAAATCTTTCATATCAAATTCCTGACTCAATAAAGTTTTCAAACCGATAACATCATCCATGTTCTTCGCAGCAATCAACATACAGCAATAGAAAAATAAAAGAACCATCATCAAGGCTCTTAACATAGACACAACAATCATACTCACATCGGTTGTAGCCAATCTTGATCATATAGGAGTCAAACCGTTTATACCACTATCTCAGAGACTGTTTCAACCCGTACAAAGATTTCTTCAATCTGCAAACTAAATGCTCGTTTCCAGGTTGAGTGAAACCTTCAGGTTGCTGCATGTAGATTTGCTCCTCTAAATCACCATGCAAAAAAGCATTTTTAACATCCATCTGCTCTAAATGCAAATCACAACTAGCCACCAATGCAAGTACTGCTCGGATTGAAGTGTGCCTGACCACAGGAGAAAAGATTTCATCATAATCAACTCCTTTCTGCTGTGAAAAACCCTTCGCTACCAAACGAGCCTTGAACTTATCCCCCCTCTTTTTTTGTTACTGCTGGTTTCTTCTTATACACCCATTTGCAACCAATCGGCTTCTTACCATCAGGAAGGGGAACTAACTCCCATGTGCGATTGTGATTCAAAGACTCCATCTCCTCAACCATGGCTGCCATCCACTTGTCGTTTTCCTGACTAGTAACGGCATCATGAAAAGTAACCGGATCATCACTGCTAACAATAAGTGCAAAAGATACCAAGTCTTCAAAACCCAATCTGTTCGGAGGCTTTATATTCGTCCGTCTCACCCTGTCTCTGGCGAGACTATAATCCTGCAAATCATCCGTAGTGGAACCACCAGAAGTCGGTTGAGAAGTTTCTGGTTTCTCAACTGGAAACTGCTCGAAATCCACCACTGTCGTGTCTTGCTTTTTGCTGCAACATGGACTGTTCATCAAAAACGACATCTCTACTAATCACAACTTTCTTCGCAACTGGATCCCAGAACTTGAATCCTTTGACACCTTTCTTGTAACCCAGAAAAATGCACTCCTTCGATTTTGCATCAAGTTTGGATCTCTCATCACAGGTACATGCACATAAGCAGGACAACCAAAAATCCGTAAGTTATCAAAACTAACATCATGACCAGTCCATACCTCTTCTGCAACTTTCCCAGCCAGCGATGCCCTTGGCGATCTGTTGATAAGGTAACACGCTATGTTAACAGCCTCAGCCCAGAAGTATTTGGGAAGCCCCGCATTCAACCGCAAACATCTGGCTCTTTCATTCAATGACCTGTTCATTCGTTCCGCAACACCATTCTGTTGTGGTGTCTTGCGCACTGTAAAATGCCTCTGAATCCCATGCTCCTTACAGAATTGTAGGAACTGTGAATCTGTGTACTCCGTACCATTGTCAGACCGCAAACACTTGATTTTTCGTCCTGTTTGGTTTTCTACCTCAGCTTTCCACAGCTTGAAATTCTCAAAAACTTCAAATTTCTGTTTCAAAAAATACACCCAAACTTTCCGTGAAAAATCATCAATAAAAGTAACATAGTACCTAGATCCACCCAAAGACGATGTCGTGGAAGGCCCCCATACATCAGAATGCACATAATCAAGAATCCCTTGAGTTGTGTGCTTCGCAGTCTTAAAATGGACTTTAGTCTGTTTACCAAGAACACAATACTTGCAAAAATCGAGCTTAACACTTTTGACACCATGCAACAAGTTTCTCTTGTATAATTCTACCATACCACGTTCACTAAGATGAGCAAGGCGCATATGCCACAATTTTGTTGTATCATCACAGGACTCAACAGAGTGAACTCCACCTACAACGGTACTCCCTAACAATCTGTAGATATTCCCTGCAGTCATCTTGCCCTTCATCACAGTCAATGCTCCTTTAACAATCCGAATGGTTTCCCTATCCTCGTCAGCCTTAGGGATAAAACCATTCTTGTGCAAAGTGCCCAAGGAAATCAAATTCTTCTTCAAGTCTGGGATATGTCGAACACCACTCAACGTCTGAACGGAGCCATCGTGCATCTTAATTCTGACATCACCAATACCAACAATATTGCAACATCGATCATCACCCAAATAAACCGAACCAGAATTAACCGGCCTATATGTCGAAAACCATTCCCTATTTGGCGTGATGTGATAAGAACATCCAGAATCAAGAATTCAAGCATCCGTCAATTGTGTCGTTGAAATAGAAAGCATATCACCCTCACTGCAATCAGAATTATCATCCTCGACCACGTTCACAGACTTGGATGAGCCATCACGCTTCTCATCAGTCTGCTTTTTCAACTTCGGACAGTCTCGCTTCATATGTCCCGCCTCCTTGCACTTGTAACAGTGAATCGTCTTCTTATCCCTGGATTTGGATCTGGAATTTCGCTTCCCGGACCCTGCCTTCTTTGGCTTCCGTCCACGATCTTGATTACCCTTGACATATAAGCTATCGGCTTGAGAGCTTTCCCCTGCATTCTGCTTCCGCTGGTTGTGAGCCAACAAGGCTGCAGTAATCTCCTCAACGTTGATAGTCTCTTTCCCATATGTAAGAGTAGTCACCATGTGTTCGTAAGAGGGAGGCAACGAACACAACATAATCATCGCTCTGTCTTCATCCTCAATTTTCACATCAAGTCGAGCCAGATCAGAAACGATTTGATTGAAGACATTCACGTGTTGCGCCAAATTGTGATCGTCCTGCATCTTCAGCCCATACAGCCGCTGCTTCAGATACAGTTTTGTCGTTAAGGATTTGGACATAAACTGACTTTCCAACTTCCTCCAAATTTCGTCTGGAGACGATAGATGCATGACGTGATACATGACCTCGTCCGTCAAACATAATCGTATGGTTCCTGCCGCTCGCTGCTGCAATTCTTCCCAATCTTCCTCATCCATCGACGCCGGCTTTGAAGGTCGCAAAGCCTTCAAGATCCCTTGCTGCGCCAATAGATCGTTCACCCTCGTTTGCCATAATCCGAAGTTACCCTGACCATCGAATTTCGCGACTTCGAATTTTGCTCATGACATCTGATACCAATTGTTGACGAAAACTGGTAAAGAAAAACAAAAGAACACGAGAATTTTACGAGGTTCGGTAATGTGCTTACGTCCTCGGTGCCTAGGCGGCGCTAGAAGTTTTATTCAATGATATTTTAGGTCTAGGTTACATCTCTATTTATAATAAAAAACTCTGGTACATAATTACAAAATCAACCCTGTACCGTACCGCGGGGGGCACCCCCCGCACCCCCAACCCACATAATTCGAAACCCCACAACGAGACTTTCTTTGTAAGGACAGTTGATGTTCGCTTCGCTCACTCCGCTCCATCTCCTGTCCTCTTTACTGGTATATTTATGAGCCATACCTAACAAGAAGTCATATCATACAATGTCAAAAACCCAAAAAAATCAAAATTTTCGGATAATTACTCCAGTAAGCCTAGCAGCATTATTTTGATGAAGATTGATAGTGTCATCTTAGGCCTCACTTTCCTATCAAACAACAGAGTTTCAACTTTATTGTCAGTTAAAGAAAATGCCTTACATGACTGTTTTTCGTATGACAGAGAGATCGAAAGAAGAAGAAAAATACTTGTCGAGTAAAGCTGCAAACGGAGCCATGACAAAGGTGGCAATGGCGTGACGGTAAACGACGAGCGCGTAATTGCTCATACCCTGGTTTAATGCAGCCTTAGACAAGATATCCATCCATGCATACCCAACTTGCAAGAGGATTGCAGCTAAAAATGTCTTGTACTTGCATGCTGATGAACCATGTTCTTGGTTCTCCATTTTTTTCTAATAATAATTTATGGAACAGAAAATGTTTAACGAGTTGATGAACTCATGAGGTATTTTCTGGTATCTGTTTGTTTCTATTTATATTGTTTGATCAACTTTTGACACCCCATTACTTGCCTCTTTCTTTTGCAAAAACACTTATTTTACTATTACTTATGTGATACATGTCCACAATTTTAAAAATCTTAAATTATTTCGATTTCATTTCACTCGTTCAAACGTCGCTACTTAAATCGAATAAATCGTCCTAAACTAGTAAAACCACTTGTTCCCAATCTTCTTTAACACAAAATAGAAGTAGCAATGACATATTTCGAGTTTAAAAACAACTTTATTTTCAATGAATTAAGGGGAAAAGGGGAAGGAAATTCGAAACCTTTGCAATTGCTTTAATAATAATATATTTGTAAGGTAGCTTTGCGTGGTGGGCGAGTCAATAAAATGGTGGAGTTACTGTATATGTAGTTCCCCCCCAAAAGCTAATGTTAAAAGAGTGTTTCGTGACTGCTTTGCGTTACCCCATGGATATAACGTAAGAGTTTGCAATAAATTAAAAAGGGATTCCCATCCTCAGTTTAGTGCCTTCAGACATCCACTCTCACTCACATGACACCCCCGGCCCTTTCAATGTCTTACGGAGACTGGGCTTTCCCATTTCAACTTCTTCCTTTTCTTTATTTTGAATATTTAGTAGAGCTGGCAATCAGGTCTTTCGGATCGGGTACGAGTCGGATTATTTTGACTCTAGATTACTTCGATTTAGATTCGGTTTAGGTCGGATCAGATTTGGTTCGGTTTTAGTTCGGGTTAGATCAAGTCTAAATTCGATGAAGTAAAATGAATGAATAATTTATTTTTAACCTGAAACAAAAGTAACTCGAATCGAAAAACCAAACCAAAAGCAACCCGAATTTAGTTTAAATGAACATAAAACCGAATTTATATTAATTTGATGAAAATAAAAGATTAAAGGTTAAAAATACAACAAAAATTAAAAATTAAAATAACTAAACTGATAAAAATTTATATTTTCAAAAGCATACAGGATATTGGTTATAAAAGTGCATTTCAATGCTTAAATCGTTGAAGAGCTTTCAGAAAAATAAATGTGTTTTCTTTTTATCTTTGTCCAACGTTTTCTTATTTTATATATATATAACATAGATATTGCTATAAAGAAATGTGGGTCCTGAAAACCACAATCAATAGACCATTTAATGGTGCTTTAATGAAATGTGGGTCTAATGGGTCTCAATGATTAACGCTGACCGCCACTTAGACACAATGAATCAATGTCGAATGATAATTAAAAGTGTTACTTGTGGTCGTAAAGGAATCCATAAAGATGCCATTATCGTCTTCGAATAAGCACTGCATAACCGATTCAGATAGAGGCGAGTGGCATCCGCTGTTTGTGAAATAATCCAGTAATGGATAATTATACAGCAATGGATTTGGATTCTGCTAATCTTTATGATGCAAGTAGAGGAATTAAATATTTAACACTCGAAACCTTTTAAGATAAACATGATGACACGATTCATCCTTTCATGTAAACTAATGATAGCCAGGACTGGAGAATATAAACAAAAAATAGTTGTAACCAATTAGTTTCCCCGGTTCAAAATGTACCCTTGAGATCTCATCCTTTGTTCAAGCCCCGCAGCCAGTAGATTTTTTAGCAGCCGCCGCAGATCCGGCTCCCTGATCTTGTTGGCTAATTTTGAGTGCATGTGGCTGTAGAGACAAGAAAACAACGAACAGAAACGAAAACAGTATACGTACATGAATTACCATAAATATCACAACTAGGCATATATGATATCAAAAAAGTTGATAGTTCAAGCAAAAGAGTCAATACCTCAGCCTTTGCGTCGGTGTTGGCGAGTCTTTGCTTAATATGTCCCTGGCTATGGAAAAAAAAACTTCCTCAACATTAAGTTTGCTTTTGCACTCTGCAAGATAAGAATAACTCTTGACCATACAGAAAAGATCAACTAAACATCAAAAGTAACTACAGCATCAGCAGAAAAAATTACATACAGTCTCAAAGAAGATGCCGTATTCATCGGCAAGAGCTTGGCCTTTGAGGTAGGAACGGCCTGAAAGAAAATTCCTGATCAATATAAGAAACAGGTGGGTAACCAAAAATGCATTTAAGAGGAAAAGAACAAAGACCCTTTTGCTTTCATCCATGTCGGCCTTATTACCCACCAGAACCTTGTTCACATTGTCCGAAGCATGTTGTTCAATATTACGAATCCAATTTCTAATGTCTAAGAAAAAAATGAATATTAGTTGAGTTGATAGGATGATTATGATGGAAAGTGACTAAAAATTTTCAAATCACCGGATAAGGAGTATACTTGCAAGTTTCAACATTGCAGGAAATTGGACAAGATTAAACACCAGATGTATAAAATCCAAAGTTCAGTAATTACTATTGAAAGATGACTCATCGGTCACATCATACACAAGCAAAATACCCATGGCTCCATGGTAGTAAGCTGAACAAAAATAAAATATTATTTAATTTTCTGTCAACAAGAGAAGACTATTGAAACAAACCATTGAAGCATGCACGCTCTTAACCTCCTAGCAGACTAAAACACACACAGAGAATACAAAGCAACAACCTTGAAGCGCAGACCACAGATGTTATTAAATTTGAGAATATTAGTGTGCAAATGACCAGTTTATGGCATTGAATTATTTAATCTTTTAGATAAGTTATTTTAATGTTAAACAATTCATTTTCGTTTCTAGTTAGTGACACCTTCCAATCCCGAAAACTAACCAGTTGTAATTGTTCGAAATCGCTCTTGCTCAGCAGTATCCCTAATTTGCAACTTGATCCTTTTCCCATCAAGCTCTATAGTCCTTATCCTAAAATCAATTCTGCAAACGTAAACACAACCTTATTAGACTGCATATCCCTTGTATAATATAATAATAAGACCACTACACTGCTATGGGATAACACGTACCCATTTGTCGTGATATAACTCGTAGTAAATGAGCCATCTGAAAAACGCAAAAGTAGGCAACTCTTACCCACACCTGTCCAATGGTATGATAGCATAACAGAGTTATTTGGAACTCAAATTCAAAAGAATGTGCAGATTTTCAACCAAATCTCCTCCAAAAATTACTAAACTATCAACCACCAAGTCCCAAATTACAAACAACTAAAACTATTTCTAGCAGCCCTCCCTTGAAACAAGGGTTCTCATGCAAATGTACATCTATACGTACAATACCATTTAAAGAATCCTCAAGGGGTTCTGCCATTAACGTCTGGCATGAAATTTTGGCTGGGCTTTTAGTAATGGGTCAGTTCTTGTTTGTCGTGATGCATTTGGATTGGTATTATTTTCTATTTTTACATTTTTGTTCAGCTAGCACAATGCATTTCCATCGTTACAGTTTTACACCTGGTTTTGGTGGGAGAGTCTTCCAACGAAGATTAAATCACCCATGATGTAGTCGTTGATGCTCGAATTCGAAACCTCTAAAAATAACAACCATTCCCACCGTTGGAATGATTTAGTTCATGCAATAGTCAACAATTTTTTGTATTTCGTCAAAAGGTTTCCAAATACTTTGGATAATGTCACTAGCATTGGTGCTCATTGTAAAAAAAATTCTAACAACGTTTTTTCAATAAAGAGAAGATAAATAGATTATTTGAAATTAAACTTGATATGTAATATTAATAAATAATAAATTATAATTAAATTTTAATGTACCATGTGTCAGTTCAAACAAAATCTTGATCACCACCAAAGGATTCAACTTTCAATAAGATTTTTTTACAGATCACACAAAATATAATCGTGTGTACAGATGGAGATTCGTTATCAACTTTGTTGGGCACAAGTAAAAGAATAGAAATATATATATGATTGTAATCACCATTTTTACCTCTCCATTCCAGCATCTCCACGTTGCATTTCCAGCAATTTCCAGCAGCTGCAGCAGCCCCTCCACGCAGCATTTCCAGTAGCTTCCAGCGACAGCTGCCCCTCCACATTGAAGCTATAGGTGAGTCACCACCATAGTTTGGTGACTCACCGAACTCCCCCTTATTACCCGGTCCATGGAGAGCTTTGTGGTGGCTATAAAAGCCACCACCGAGCCTACAAAGAGAAGAGGGGAATCGATAGAGAGAGCAAGAGAAGGAAGCTAGAGAAAATACCCAACAAACAGAGCAATCAAACAGGAAAAAAAATAGAGTGAAGATACCGAGCAACTTACCTTCGTCGGAGCATCCAAATCACCGGAAAACCACAAAAAAAAAAACCGAAGGTAAAAATTTAGATCTACGGAGTTTGGGGTTTTTTTAGAACAAGAGGAAGTCGGAATCGGATTTAGAAATAAAAGAGGATTTTTTTGGGTAATTTTATAAAATTCGGGCCACCGTCTACGGTGGCCGGCGACGGTGACCGGACGGTCACCGGTATTCCTCCGGTGAGTGAGCTCTAGAGAGAAGCTCTAGCTTCTCTCTAAGAGAGAGAAGCAAATGGAGAGAAATGATAATTTAGGCCTATTTTGGCCTATTTATACCCTTACCAAAACGACGTAGTTTTGATGAGGGCCTCTGTGTAATTTTCCGTATGGGAAAACCATACGTATTATCCTCTTGATTTTATAGACTTATATTTTAGTCACTAAATTAAGTTTTCGAGCATTTTAATTTTGTTCCTGAATTTTATTTTATTATATTTTAGTCCTTTCCCGTAATTATGTAATTTAGGGTAAATAATATATTTAGCCCCTGTTAATACTTAGTTTTATAATATTTAAATTAGAGCTTTTAGTTTTAATATGTTATAATTTAGTCCTTAATTTTAATATTTTCATTTATTTTACAAGTTTTATTACCGTTTATATTTTAATAATATAATTTTATTTTAATCATTATTTATTTTATATGTTTATATATTAATTATTATTGATTATTATTATGTATCATATAAATATATATAATAAATAATATTTATTTGCTTATTTTTATATTTTATATATATATTAAATAAAAATCCTATTTAAAATTTTAATTTTATATAAATTACTTTTAAGAAAAATAATCATATTTTAATATTTATTTATTTTTTAATATTAAGAAATGGACTGTCTTAAAGTACCTAGAAGTCCTTTTCTGATATTCTTAAATAAATAAATATCATATTTTTATAAATTATATATATATATTAATTTATTTAATTATTTTTAGAAAGATGTTACTTTAATATTTATTTATTTTTTAATATTAAGAAAAGAGCTGTCTTAAGGCACCTAGAAGTCCTTTTCTGATATTTCTAAATAAATAAATATTTTATTTATAAATATATTTAAATTAATATATTTCTTCATAATCATAATTTTGAAATAATAGGATTATAAATTAAATATATTTTGAATTTTTAAATTTCTAATAATAGAGACAATTTATAATTAAAAAGTATCAATTTTGGGCATTGTAGGGGTGCTAATCCTTCCCTAAACGTAACCGACCACGAATCCCTTTTTATTATTAAAAAGAACGAATTTTTGGTTAAAACGCAGATCAGTTTATCTTTTAATTGATGTTTTCTTAAAAAATCTTTTAAAAGATATTTTTTAGGTATTCGACCAACCTGACCCAAAAGGCCGATGGCGACTCCCAAATTATTTTCAAAACCATTTATTTACATCAATTTTCCCGCCAAGTAATATTTCGTGCCCGGACGAAAACCGGTTACGACAGCTTGGCGACTCCGCTGGGGATGATGTCAAACTTTAAAACTAATTATTAATTGCCTCTATCAATTAGAAAATTAAAAATTCATATATTTAATTTTTAATTCTTTCTTTTCAAAATTTTTATATATACTTATTATTTTCATAATATTTATATGTTATTTAATGCTTATTTTCAAATATTAAATTTATTATTTATTTGTTAGAGGTTTGAACATTTCTCCTCACACACAACACTTGCATTGCATAACATAAAGCTCTATAATTGAGTTTGTCCCTTTAAGTGGGAGTGAAAGCGACGTCTTCGTGAGAATTTATTCTCCGTGTCAGACCTAGCAAGTAACTTTCGGGGTTCATATGCTCTATGTCTTCGTGAGAATTTATTCTCCGTGTCAGTCATAGAGAAATGTGTCCCCTCGAATTGAACTCGATCCGCTTAAGTCTGTAATGGACTAGGATTGAGGGTTTGACAGCCCAAGGGGGCATCAACAAGGACAGTTCGAGTACCTTTACTCCTAGAACTAAAACCTGCATATAATAAACCCTAGAAACTCTCCTGATCTGAAACCATTGTAAGTAAGTATACACAAAGGAGAAATAAGTTTTAGCTTTTAATTTATTTTATTTCCTTTTTCCTGAATAAATGCATGCGAACTAGAAATCATGCGGTTAGGTTAAATTTTCCAAACAAAGCATGGAACTAGAAAGCATAAGATTAAGATTTATACATTGATAAATAGATTTTTTTTAGTTGGTACTAACTATTCTATTTTTTTCATGCATATTACATTGCTCTAATATGTTCATATTGATTTCTTTTGTTTGCATTACATGATCATGGCATAACCAAAAGGTGTTGGCTTGAAAGATTGTTCATCATATTGGAAAGAAATCGTAAATGGACAAAAAGTTTTATGATCAAACAAAATATGATGCGGCCAAAGAAAGACATCCTGAGGAAACTACGAGGATCGAGGGAAGTTCTGCACACAGAGAATCGGTTATATTAATACCAAAAGTAATCCATAAAGATTCTGCCAGATTGATACCAAAAGCAGTCTATGGTAAGAGTATCAGTCGGGACATTCAGAGTAGTGGAGATTTTTATGAAGCTCAAGCATGTTATTTGAAGGACTTGAACGACCAAGATGAGAAATTGAGCACAGAAATGAAAACCATGCATGAAGATTTTCAGAAGATCAGTCAAACCTTTCAAAATGCTGGCCTAGGAAGTACCCCAGAAGAATGGATAGCAGGGGTCACCAAGCTGAAAAAGAACTGCAACATATATGAAGATCTTGTTCAAGAACTTCTTGGACAGAAAAGATCTCTTACAAGGGAAAATGAGCAACTCCGAGAAGTGACACAGAAAATGAAAGAGAATGTCATGGAAGAGGTTGCAGTCCAGACAAACAATATGTCCCTTAAGTTGATAAACTAATTTGGCTTTAGAGAAGTTAGGAATGAAATATATCCCTATATGTAAAGTTTTGTTTGATGTACCGAAACTTTTGTGTTCAATGAAATCTGTTCTAAGATAATCACTCTTGAGTAAACACCTTTTCATACATGCATTTGCATTTTGCATCTTTGCATTTTTCATTGTGCATTTATACTTTTATATTTGTTTTTGTACTATACAATTTGCATTTTTATTGTTACATTCACATATTTACATTTGAATTTGCATTTGCATTTTTACGTTTGTATTTACATTTCATTTTTACATAATTACATTTGGTTTTAAACTATTTTACATACATTTAAACATGAAAACATGAGAGTAATTCGTGGAGAATTCCATGATAGAATTTCTGAAATCAAAGTGGAGCTAACTTGGTCTTCCTAAACAAGGATAAGAACCATGAATGAGATTTTAGCAAGGGTTGGTAGAATTGAGAAACTACAAGAGCAACTTATCAAGACTCAACAAGAGATGATTGATCAAGTAAAAAATCCCATAATGATTCAAAAGAGCAAATGACAAAACTGATAGACCTGATAAATGTTGTACTCCATGGAGAGAAACCCTTAAAGGATCCCACTGTGAAGGCTATGAATAAGGTTTTGAATGATAATGATGAGTTCGATGTGATAGTGTCTGATGATCAAGAACCTATTAAAGAGCATGGTAATTCAAGACAGATTCAAGATTTG